CCCATTGCGCATCTAGGCCGTGACTAATATGTCAATTACGACCTTTCTATCCACCCCGTGCAACTGAGGATACACTTTCAAGTAAGGGAGTGGGAGATGTGCAGCTTTAGTGTTGAAACAAGGATGGCAGGTATGAGTTGAAAACATTAACGAGAACTACAAGCAACTAAACATACCGAATGGGTAATGAACCGGCTAAGATCCCAGACAAGACGTCGATCAAGGCACTTGCCATCTGGAAGAGCAATGAATGAAGCGAATGCGACTGCTTCAGTCTCAGTGAAAAGCGAATCCTTGGCCACTGACTGGTCAACAATCTGAAAATTCGAAGGCACCAAGGACTTCGGGCAAGAGCACCTATACAAGGAAAAAGAGAAAGAATACTTCACAATAGTCTTACTTGACCGTAGAGCGGCATAATGATCGTGTCTTTGGCAATAGGTTTCGCAGCTCTCAACTGCCAAACAAATGAATCTCTGACAAGATTGAGATGAACTCGTCCAGAGTTGAAACTGTCGCTCATGTCGGCTGTGCTGGTTCTGAAAATTTCACCGTGTACACACATTCGTACATCACCGTCGTTCGAATGCCATGCGAACCCGGGGGGGGGGAGGTCGCTTTTGGTCGCCGAAGGGGAGGTCGTCGTACTGACCTCGGGGCAACTTTCCTGATAGTTGATTTCTTCTTTTCACGAGCCTTTCAGAGCCTCTTACCAGCGCTGCTCGGTTTAGGGGAGGGACGGAGAGAAGGGCATTCGTTATTTTCGCTAGATCGTTTTGTTGGAGCGCGTTCATACTTTGTGGTCACTCGATTTAGTCGAGCGATCACGTCCGGAGCAGGTTCACCGTCAAACGACGTACCGCCGCAACGGCAAATTCAAATTTGGTGTTCACGCAGTGTTAATTTAAAATGTGCCGTAGCGGATCCAGTCAAGCGATACGATCGCGCTATCCATTCGAGCGATCACGCGATCCAATTGCGCGACCGCGAAGTATGAACGCGCATTTAGTTCGAGTTAACTAACAGATGGTCTGCTTACATGGGCTCACAGGCTCACGTTGATGGAGTCTATGATCTCTTGTGAAGCTTTGAAATGGTACACGTGAATCACTTAGATAGTAGAATCTTACAGTTTCTCACGAGATGGCCTGAGCTAGCTTCATCGACTGCCATCTTTTTCAGTTGGCGACGTGACGAAAGTAGCCCCATCTCTAGCGATTACGTGTCTGCGCCGCCCTTTCCCCCACCCCCTTCACCCACTCGTGATAAGGTACTTCATGAGCGTAGGACCAGCGGAGTGGGATAGAAAATTGGCTCATATCAGCTTAGGCAGTCGAGAACATGCGCATCGATCGCGCCGAACGCGCGACCGAGGCGCTGCCGTCGCGAAGTCTGAAGGCTGCCTCATGAGTAAGTAAATAACCTTTACCTCCACTCACCTACGCACACAAATTATGACTCTAGTAATTAAAAAAGACTCACGTTGCACTTTGCATCTCTGACGTCATATTTTCACCGTCGTAATGGGGCTGGAAATTGAAATTTGACCTCAGTAATGGAAGAGATGCTCTACGAAAATATTGGTGGCCTCACAGCGCGTTCATACTTCGCGATCTGATCGCTCGCGTTATCAGATCGCAAAGTATGAACACGCTCTCGAAAGGTTTTTCCATCATTTTTGTCTCATTGCAAAACCGCTGATTTTCCTTGGAGATCAATGATACCAAAAAATCAGAAGGCTTTTTTCGCACTGCGGACACTAACGAGAGGATAGCCAGGATTACTTACCTCTTCAGATTCACATGCTAGTTCACGGTCAAGCTCCGAGCTAGGGTAACAGTGATCTCTACAATCTTCCAGACTGCTGGCGCCAACATCCGAGACACTTGGTCTGTCAAATATACACAAGGATGAGTTCATTTTGAAAAACGAGGAAGTAATCAGAGGCGAACCTTGGGTAGTTCAAAATTTCATGTCCATGCTCCAATGCAACTGAAATAGTGACAAGATTTCGAGTACATTATTATCAACCTGACGAAAAGAAGATCAACCCGAAAAATTTTCAACTTTGCACAAGGCCTCAACTTACTGCTTGGTCCAGTTGGCTCACAATCGATAACAGCTAAATGTCGTTCATCATTGTGACCTTCTGTTATGTCATCGATCTCCTGAAAGTCGCGCGATGAATTAACTAATTGATTTATTACAAGCACATTCCTGGAAGGTTACCAGATGTTCTTCTCACTTCAAAAGATCGGCTGTACTACAACCCGTACTACACGCCTATGTTTTTCTAGTGGCTTTGCCCAAAAAAGATTCAGACTAACAGCTGGCAGATTCTCTTCTCGACTAACAGCTGCCACGTCGTGAGGAGAGCGATGGATGGCGATGAGGTGAACTTCTCCCCCCCCCCATGCTACAGCAAGTTCAGGACTGCACTAGCAGATGTAAAATCACTTAGAAAGCAATAGAAAACCTGGAATACGTGGGAAGACAGAATGTCCATTCACATCCGTAAAACCTGGTCGTTGCCGAGTGTGAGAT